GAGTGTATACATCTTGATTTTTGGGAATGATCCCACCAATGTTACCATTCATTAACGTACTTGCCTCTTATTTTTATATTTTTTTTATTTCTTTTTTGTGGATATTGTAACATATCTATACACAAAAAAGTATCTTTTAAATTAAGGCACTTCCAAAAGTTATCAAAATACTACTGATAGTACAAAATTTACAATTTGAATTGACTTTTCTATATTGATAAAACGTCCATGATAATTTATCATAGCATAACTTCACGACTTAGTCAAAGTCGATATTTGATAAAAAGAAAAATTAAGTATTGTTTTCACAGCTCCTTTAACGTTAAGCCCACCGAATAAGGACAGTAAATCTTTCCTAATAGTCCACGACGGATTTCCTTATATATATTATCCTTGTAATATATTTCTGCTGAAAAAAATTATACAAAATAAACAAACTATACTACCATACTTATTTATTTGGCCATAACCCAGGCGCCTCTGCTGCGTGCGCACCTTCTCCAGTTCAGTACATCAAGTCCGGTTAAAAATGTTTACAAATTTCTATTCCGTATATTTCATTTACATATATAATATCATCATAAATTGTTTTTTATAATAATTCATATACACAATATAATATTTACAATATGAAGTTCGAGTTATGGAAGCAGAATTGTATGTAATTTGCTCTCAAAAACCTTAGTGCACTGCTTTTGGTTCGAGTAATAGAAAATTCGAGTTATAGAAGTTCGAGTTATAGAAGTTCGAGTTATAGAAGTTCGAGTAATGGAAGTTTGACTGTATATACAATTATAATTATATTACATTTGGATTTTATGACAAATATTTTTGAAATATTTTTTTTCAAAAAGATATTTAAAATTTTTATTTCTGTTTAAAAACATAATTTAATATTTTTAGAGAAAAGGTTTAAAATTTCATAATGGACGACGATATCTCTTCGGAGAATAGCGTTAACAGTATTTTGAACAATAAAGTTGAAGATTCAGATTTGAATTTTGCTGAGATGTGTGTTCAATCGGAATCCTTCATACACAATATGACTTTCCCTAATAATGAGCTTCCAAACGGTTTTCAATGCAATGGTTCGCAAGAATGCTTTTACAACTTAATTCCCAATGAAGCCTGTCCACAATCTTCTTCTTCCAATTGCAAGAATGATTTGAAATCTGTGGGATCCAATCCTTTTATAAATTTTTTGCGGGATTTCAGATTGGATCATAAAGATATGGCAGTTATAAACGCCGTACAATGTGGCGCAGCAGAGTGGAGAAATTTAGAAACGGCTACTAAATTGGCGTATTTCAAAGAGGTACTAGAGATACATAGAGATATTAAAAATACTTTATATTTTTGAAGTTGTAAAAACTGTGATTTTCTATTTATAGGCATTTGTAGCCAACGGGGGAAATGTAGATGAAGAAGCATGTGATGATATGAATGCAAGTGGAGAGGAGCTTGTTGATGATAACTGTAGTGAAATGTTTAATGAAATAAGATCACCTCCAATTCGCTCTGCTGTTGCCAAACCGAAACGCTGTAAAAAACGTAAGCGTGGAAAGCGCGCTGAAAAGCGTAAAGTACTTGGTCAACCAGGACGTAAAGCCTGCAAACGTCATTAAAACCGTAGCCTAATGCGATATAGTATATAATAAGTGCGTTTCGTAAAATGTTTTTTATTTATAATATTAATATCTGATATTTTTAGATTACTATATCACAACTAAGAATATGAAACTAACAACTATTCCAGACTATCAATTTAAAATTCTAGTATTTAAAAAATCCTAATGATGTATATTGATACAGTGATCAACGTTTTGAATAATACATTGAAATGGATTTTTTTTCAAATACTAAATCTATAATTGACAAAAACATTTTCGAAATAAAAGTGAAAAAATTGAAAATCGTGAAAAAATATATCTTGTTATTGAAAATGATTGAAAATGTTATATTTGCTTGAATAAAATTCTTTTTATATAAAATTTAATAAGCACTTAATTTATTATGTATGTTTTTTAAACTAAATTAACTCAAAGTGTTGTAACTAAATTGTTCTTTTTTATATATAGCTTTATTTTAGGATTATGAGACTATTATAGTGTAGTAGAAAATTTTATTATTTAATACATTCTGAATATTAAAAGCTTCGTAGCAGTCCCTGTAACTACTGAGACCAATATACATATATATATATTAGGGTGCCATTAATTTTCGAAAGTCGGAAAATTGCCCGCGGCACCCCCCACATTGGTTCATTTTACTAAAAAAATAATCTGTGTAAAATTTTAGTTCAATTGGATAAGTGGAAATGGTGCCCCAAGAGCCTCATTGATTGCTTATATCTCCGACATATTTAATTTTACATAAAAACTGTCTTCCTAAAAGTTATAGATCTATTAAAAATAAACAATTCACTCATACAAAGTTTTTCTGTATTTCTAATAGTTATTGAATAAGACAAAAAATAAGTTGAAGTCACCCGATTGCTAGCTTTGAAAGTACTATGAATGTAATTGTCCGCTTCTGCTTTACAAAAAATTCAATATTTCTAAAAAATTAAAAATAAATTCAATATTTCCAAAATTTAATCTTTCTAATAATAAAAAGGTACTAATTCTAGGTTTGTCCGACATAATTTTTATTATTTTAGTTAACGTTGCTGGAGCAAAGTGTTCTTATTACCTTCAGTTATTTTTGCGCGATCTATTGATACTCTCCTGACTTCCTTGTCATCACTATCTATATTCAAATTTGAAACCATCTTTTTCTTTGTCTCAGGTGATATATTTAAATCCAAAAAGCAAAATGAACAAGCTTTGAGCTTAAATAATAAATACAATTATTTGATATTGACTGAGAATAGAAAGAAGATTAAAATCTTGAAAATGAGCTTTGACTGATGACAAAGCATTAAACCATACTTCAACATACACTTTAGTAATAAATATACATATACCGCAAAGAGCATTTTCTTCATCTGTAGATAATTTGAACTCTTTCCTTAATAAAAATATTTTTAATACATGCATGGCTTTCGCCATCCATTTTGCATGATGTGTAGCTCCAGGAGGTCGAAACTTTATGGTACAGTTCGGCTTTTCTCCTAAAAACATTGATGCAAGTTACAGAAGTTCCTTATAATTATCTCTTGGTTGGTTATCCTTACGAATCTTATAAAGGAAACTTGTAATTCGTAACACATCATCCATATTTATTTTCTTACTTTTTCATTTTCTAAGCTGACTGTAAAGTTATCAACATTTATTTTCGGCCAAAACTTCTGAAATCGTTGAAATAGTTCAACATTTGGGCTTTCAGACTTGTACGCTTTTTAATGTAATCACTTTGAATTGAAATTCACTTCGCATTCCAATGAATAATACAAAAACTCACTTATGTATATATCTATACAAGTATTGGACTTATTTTCTAGCAAATTTAGTAGGCAATTCATTCATTGAACTTACCTAAATTTAATAGGGGGATTTCAGCTTGTATTTGCTTTTATTCAATAACTATTAGAAATACAGAAAAACTTTGTATGAGTGAATTGTTTATTTTTAATAGATCTATAACTTTTATAGATCTATAACTTTTATAGGAAGACAGTTTTTATGTAAAATTAAATATGTCGGAGATATAAGCAATCAAAGATGAATTGTATGGAAAAAATCGTTATTTTCCAATCTTTGAGGCTCTTGGGGCACCATTTCCACTTATCCAATTGAACTATAATTTTACACAGATTATTTTTTTAGTAAAATGAACCGATCTAGGGGGTGCCGTCAACCGATTTTACGAAAAAAAAATTGCCCATATACCTTAATGGCACC